AAACTAAGCCTTCAATAGATTTCTCTCATATTAGTTATCTAAGAGAAGTGAATTCCCCTTACTGGTTGCCAAAGTGATATGAAGTTCTTCCAACTCTGACCTCACAAAAAACTAAGAGTTTAAAAACCCTTCACAAAAATATGCTTAAGAAAAAAAAAAAGGGCTTGATTCATTAATTGATAGCAAACAGTCAGCTACCGGCAACCTAAAAATAATATTTCAAAACCTCCTCCACATCCTTACAAAATGGTACATGTTAATTTATTGAAAGCTCTATGCATTACTACGCTATAAATTATTAACTGCTCTGCAATAATGTCTGGTAGCCTCAGACCATCCAGCCAACTTTGTCTCTACCATGTCATCAACCAGAGGGTCTGCCATACTGAACTTTAAAGTAAAATCAACACCTTCCCTATATCCTGAAACTCTTACCTGTCTTCCTAATGTAAAGGAGTGTTTCATCCCCTTCAAAAGGACCAGGTAATTTAATAGTGAAAAACAAGGAATTAGATTTTTGGCACTTACAAAACAGAAAAAAGCATTTTAAAAAAAACCCACACACTTAAGATCTCTATAGTTACATCCTACAACTGGCTTTCAGACTGAAAAGTAGGCATTAAACAGAATTATGTAGCTGTTGCACTGTGGAAAGTAGTGTGGTTTCTAACAGTAGGAGAGATTGTAGTGTCTTTGGGAGTGGTATCCCTTCAATAACTGAAGTGCCTTTATCCTTTGAAACCTCAGTCAAATGACTCTTCCACGGTTTGTAGATGTAATTTAAGAAAAATGAGTCTCTTTCCTAAGTGTGGCAAAGAAACATTAGTATGCGCTCCAATTACTCTAATTTGAATATACAAAGGCAGGAAGTCTTTTCCTAAAGTGTTCAGGACATTGGTTAGCAACTGGTAGCCCCAATGCACTTGATCATTTGCAAAATAACCCATTCTGACCATTGACAGAGGTAAAACAAAGAATCAAGGGCATTTCCACTACAATAAACACAAAGTAAACCTAGTTCTCTTTAGCTAAAAGAATGCTCTTTAGCAAAAAATTGTCTTTATTTTCAGTGCTCCTGGGACATGTATGAAGTTCAATAACACTTCCGATGAAAAAGTCACCCCTTAAGTGTCAAGGATTTAAAACTCAACAGGCCAAACAACCTGCCACAGGCTCTGAACTACAAACATTTGAATTCTCAACCACAAAACCAAACAATTTTTCAGAAGGAACACAAATATTCAGCATTCAGAAAAATAACATTATTCTCATGCAAGTATATGCCCTCCCTAAAGAGACGAGTGCTTCATTCCGTTCAAAAGGATCAGACAGTTCAATAGAGAAAAACAAAGAAACTCCTAAAAAAATTCAGCAGCCTACTATATAGAAATCAGCACATTCAAGCCTCAACTCCAAAGACTTCATCCAAGGGTAAACCCCTGAGATCTGGAAACAAAACTTCCAGTGCAAAGCTAGCAATACCCAACCTGAAAAGCATCCAGATCCACCTGCTTACTTCCTTTCCAGAGAGAGACACTGAAAAACAAGTTGGAAGATGGGGTGTTCTGAACAGAAATAGGAAGAGAGATAAAGCACCCTTCCTTCCTTCAGTTGGTGTTGGTTCCTGAGCCAGAACCAAACGTCAGCCAAGTCAATTGGAGTCATTCCATAGACTGGAGACATACTGGATCAGGCCCTAAGACCACATGGTGAAGCAAAACACTCTTGCACTATAATACATTGATAGATTTCAGACTGCTTGCAGAAAATAGGCCATTTGGTTCATTTCTTACTAACACTAGAAAAAGTGTAACTTAAGGGCATATATTGTAAACAAATGTGTATTTATCTACACAGCCTGCAGCACGGTTTTGTTTTGGAAGCATTCAGTTTTTCTGTTTTGTTTTCTTCTTTTAGTCTATGCACTGCTCTATGCCCGTGTCAAAGGAGGTAAGATTGAATTAGTTTACCTTGTATTTGGAGCAGAAGGTGGGAAGATGTGTGATGGTCCTTAGTTCCTGTGGGAATCTGTCAGTCTTACAATCAGCAACACACAGTTTTGTTTTGTACATGGTTTTAGTTCAAAGACATGACTCGGACGCTGGATCAGAGTCCACTCCCCTTTAGTGGGGGCAGGCAAAGGCCTTCCACACAAGGACTCCGAGAGGTGCACAGATTTTCTGCCTTCCGATAAAGTTTCCTTTTAGCATGAAGAAAGCAGTCCTCTTAAATTCTAAGTGAAATCACAGTCAGATTCTCTTTATTTACAATCAGTTTCAATCTCAGATTCTTGGCTTGCCAACCAATTTCATGCATTTCAGAAAGACATTTGCTTTAAAACAAAACTTTGCATTTCAATTTAAGCTAAATGAAACATTACTAGTGATTTTTTTTTTATCATTATTTTGATAAAAAAATGTTTTTAAATGTGGACCCTAATTAATGTAACAACATCCCTTTAACTGAAAGCCACATAAACATTTTCTTTCCTTAACGGGCATCACAGAATCATTTAGGTCACAGGTGTCAAAGATACAGCCCTTGGAGCACTGTCAAACAGCCACTGCTGCTGCCCATGTGTTTTGGAGTGGTCCACATGCCTCATGGACTGGCCTCACATGCTGCATATGGGGCCAGTCCAGGACACTCACTGCACACAGTTTCTGTGCAGGGCCAGTCTGGGGCAGGTACTGCAAGACCTGCCCACTTGGGGCCAGTCTGCAGGCACTTCAGCCCATGAGATCAGATGAGTTTTGATACTCCTGACTGAGGTCATAGCAGATCCTACTGACTGTAAAGGATTGGGGCCCTTTTTCCTTGCATCTGTGAGCACTTAATGCAGTCAAATTTTAAATGATTCAAGTAATAGGGACTTCCATTACCGTGCTTGGGGTAACTAGCTGACAAGAGTGTCACATTTTTGCCAGGAAGTGATGTTTTGGATTGCGGGAAAACTTGTCAGCTAGTTGCAACATTTTTGACAGGAAGTCACATTTTGGATTAGGGGGAAAATGTTGTTTGCTACAATGTAAACCCATATTTGCTGGTCATGTAAATACACAGAATCATACGCACAAAGGGTATGCCAGTTAATGCAGCATTTGTCAAAACAAACAAGAATAGCCAAGAGCAAACTGGTTCCCACCGATGTTGGTTGTTGTTCAATACAGATTAGCCTGTACTCAACTTGTTGTTTCACCTTAGAATAATTGAAAAACTTGGATAAACAAAGAGAAAGACTGTCTAGTAACTATAACCTTCAGCAATTCTATTTTGGTACTTTCTAAACCATGCCACCTAAGTGAATGACAAAATACTTTTCTGTTTCTAAAAGCAACAGCAAACAATTGTTTCCACTCTTAATTTGGTGAGAAATACACTCAGTATTACATGCACTGCTAGCTCGGCTCCCTCAGGGCTCACACCACGGTTCTGCACTTAGGAGTACAGACATTACGAGCGGGGAAATGTGAAAATGCATAACCAGCCCAGTAAAGAAGAGAAGTGGGGAATGTAACAGCATGCGTCAAAGTAATTGAAACTGCAGTCAATGATGCAACAAGGAAATAGCTCCCCACTTTTACATCATTATTGGCTCATCATTCACACATCTATTTTAGTAACAGTTTAGGGGAGTAGAACATGCCCGTTCAAAAGTAGTACATTAGGAGAAAACATAAGGGTGTCAGAATAACCCGGCAGGTTTGCTCTGAACTGAATCCCAGAGTCACCTTCCCATCACAAAGGCTGCTCTCGAGAGTGGGTGCAGCAGAAGGGAGGAAATATGACGAGAGCTTGCAAGATGAAGTAAATAAAATGAAGTGGAACAAGAGACCAATTCAGTACGTAACAAAAGTTTCAAAATACAAGGAGAACAGTCCCTTCCTCGCTGCTTGACCCACTAAATGGTTTAACACTGAGACTCGACTCCGGTTAGTATAGATAGGAATTACTCAATGAACGGACCACAGTACTGCTACTAAAACATCTATTGTGCAAGCTAGCAGGCTACTAGGATCATCGATATCGCATTTACTGAATATTTTCTCTGTAACTCGCAATCCAAAGGGCTTCGTTTCTTTGAAAGCAGGAAAGGACCCTTCCTTCCCTATGCATTGACCCTTAATTATTCCATAAAGCATATAAGAAGACACTTCTATTTAAAAAGCTCAAGGGCTTAACTCCTACCAGATGTTGGCAAGCCCAGTTCCAACAACGAAGCTGATGGCAAAGCCGAAGGTCTTCTCACACCAGTACACAAAGAAACGTTTCCTGGCGTTACTGGGAGCAGAACTAGCACCGCTGGTCCTTTTCAACTGACAGGTGGAAAAATGCTCTGTGATTCAAGACAAGCCAGCAAAAGGCAGGCTCAAAAACATGTCACTGTTATCAAAAAAAACAGCATCTTTTGGAACTGTCGAACAATCCAGGTAGAAAAGCTCAACTTTTCTGTCCCCAAATTAACTGGGCTGATCACTTTTTGATTGAAAAAGTAGCAAGGACATCCTATTTTTACAGGCCACACAGCTCTACCTGGGGCCGGAGCGGACGAACCAAACCTGCCCTCCAGAGTCTACCTCATCTTTTCTTTTTTAAGATGAAGGGGACACGTTAGGCCTCCGCAACACAAAAGCGCCCCCTCTCCGGTGTAGCAAAAAAAGAGCCGAATCAAAAATCAGCCAACCAACCTCACCCCCGTTACGTGCAGATGACATATCTTGGGGAGGGGGCGGAAGCAAATCTCAGTGCTGCCGAGGCAGTCACCCGATGCCTCTCGGCTCCTCGTTTGGGAGAAATGGATGGATATTAGCCACAAAAATGATGATGAAGAGGAGGAGGAGGAGGAGGATGGGGGGAAGGGACAAGAGCAAAGCCCAGGCTGACCACCACCCCGGCCCGGCCACTGATGTGACAAAGGAGAGGGGCCCCGGCCCCGGGCATGAGGGGGAAGCGGGACAGGGGGGAAGCGGGAGAGAAGGGGCCGGGGGGACCGACCCCACCTGCTCGTCGAAGCGGTTGACCACGGCCTGCACCCACTCCACCGGCTTGTGGGCCGCCATGTCCCGCCACGGGCGGCCTGCGAGGGGGGTGGGGGGGCAGGCTCCGCGCGGGCCTGGCTCAGCTGCCCG